TAATCTCTAAAAAGACTCAAACGTGCAGCTGATACACCCTGCTTGTCGCAAAAGGCATATTATCTATATTATACTTAGTTCCTTGTTTAGTTACTTCCTAGAATAAATAAAAGACATGCAAAAATAAAAACTCATTAAAAAGATAACAACTGTGCTGAAATGCTTATAAGAACATCAGAAGCATTAAGACATTCACAGATGATGACAGAACTCATACCAGTCAACGTGCGAAACATATAGTTAATGAGGACGCATTTAAAAAAAGCTGTGCATGCAGCTAATTCTAGGTCAACATATCTCGGTTTGAAAGGGAAACTGATTCGAAAAATTGCATATACTAATGTTCATTTTAATACAGTTTTTGGCTAGATACATGCATTTTTGCCTGATGTTGCTTATCTGCTTATCGTTGATGTTCAGACTATATTTCTAGGATGTACTATTGTTAAGGTGGACCTATTTTGCGATTTTTGGTTATGAATAGGGGGCTCAGGGGCTAAAGCATTCTTCCCTTAATAAAGTGCCTTCAATTTAGATATACATATGTCTTGAACATTGGCCCTGGATAGACCGCCCTATGCTCCATCCTATCCGGGGCCATGTGCTGGCAGGGCAAAATAATAATAATAATAAATTTTATATTTTAGGCCCGGAGGGCATCGTCATAATGTGTGCGTTCCATGAATGTTGCCTATTCGAGCAGACGTTTAATCTATATTTGTTGGATGGAATAAAAGAAATAGCGGTCAAACAATTTTCTTTCTCTCGACCACCGCCTCTCTGCTATAAAGCCATGTAAATGATCATAAGTGTCCTTTGGCTCCTTAAGTCTCCTGACACCCGTGGCATTTCGCGGAGAAGCTTGTAAAGTCAGCGCAGTATAACGATAAAAACAGCCTGCTAATGCAGTATTCGGTAAATAGAAGGGAGAACGTAAGCACATCTACGAACCCTATTTTGAGATAAATTCTGGCAAATACTGTATGCGTATCAGAAGATTATGGGAAGTGTTTATTAATATTTGAAATCTACAAAAGTTATTGCCATGAAGTAGAGGTTCGTCAAGTGTGCTTTTAAATTCCCAAACGCTTTCAGTAGGAACAACGGAAAAAGGAAATTTTTTCTAGTCTTCAAATAAACGCACGGGTTAAGCAAGTGGCCAACATTTAAAGCTTACTGAAATGATTGCTCAGGTTGTATTGATGACCTCGTACTTTCATCGATTTCGCCACCTGCAGGGCACTGTCTACTCCTTTGACCAGTTTGCATATTATGACCACCTGTATCGCATATAAAGAGAAAGTAAAATTTGGAGTCTTTCCAATAGACCTAAACGTGGTAGGCATTCCATGCTGCTGACTAGTCTGCTAACCACTTGCTGAACTTTCCTCAGGAGAGGGTTATGTTGTTACAGCGTGTGGCACCATGTCCAAACGCAATCTTCTAACAAATGTTTAACAAATACGAACCGTAAGTAATCTTCGACAGAATCCAGGAGGTAATTCCTGATCGATCCGTGGCGACCTACTGTGCGTAATATCATTGACTATTCCCCTGATGGGATTACATGACTTTTTGTTTATTCGCATAATGTCTGAGGCCACCTGTGCACTAAGCTGCCAATATTATGAAGTCATTTGTTCTCTCGAAGACATACGTCTCTTAGAAAGCTTTTGTAAGTCGTGAAAGTATTCGTTAAAATTTGTTCAATCCATGTAGTATGGTCATTTACAATACTGGCTCAATTATATTGACTGTTTGATGAATATTGCCTTATACCTAATCACATTATTTCTCATTTAAATGTCTTTTTATCCAAAATTCGTCGTCATAAACCTTGTTCAAATAAACCGCCGCTAAATAAATACAACATTATGGGAGTATGGACAAACTTCATTATTCGCTGTTGCAATTCGCCTGCAATAATATTCCAAGGATACAATTATATGATAAAACCATGACGAGCCTGATGTCAGGCTCGTCGGCCACGACGGGCCAAACTGCTATCGACCGTTGGACCGGCTCTATTGATTTTCTGAATGCTACGGGACGTGGTGCGCGCGTGCGAGTAACACGCGCGCCTGGGCGTACACGTATAGAGGGAAGCAGTGACGATAAGCCAATCACCTGACGAAGTACTATAATGAACTTTTACGCCTACTGATGGAGAGCATCGCTCTGGAGAAATGCCACTAGGGCAGTGTCCGGTTTTAGATGTCTATAGACTAGTTACTAAGTAACCAGTTAGTATCTCGGGATTCGCAGTATCCTCCATATATCTTCTTAGTTAAAAACCGAACATATTTCTCAGTATGTTTTCAGCTGAAATTTGATATCAGCCGAGAAGATTCTCAAAACAGCATTTGCATCTATCCGTTGGCGCTGGGGAACAAATAGTTTATGTATGACGCTATGTTGACTTCAAATTTTTAGGCATAAACTCACTTACATTGGCATATTTTTTTCTCACTTCACGGATACAGGAACAGGACTTGGAAATTATTTCCTTCGAATTTCCAAAACCATGGCTTTGCTCCAAATAACAAGCACCTTTGCTTACGTTTTTTGTGCAGTTGCTTCGCGCATTTTTCTGTGGTCGAAAAGGTTACATTGACTACAGGCCATACAATTAACCTACTTATTTCGATCCGACAATCTTATTACAACGATCAAAGCCGAAGTGGGTACCTAGACGAGAATTTTTACTGATGTTTTTGCTTAAGTTTGCAAATATGGAATATTGTGGGCTCCTCAACTCACACTGGCAAATTATCTTTCAAATAATGGGTTGATATCTGTCATTACAGTTTTAAACCGTATTCTTTGAATTATCTTGCAGGTAAATTCCTTTCCTTGGGTGACATTTACAGTGTTACGGAGATGACCTCCTTATTTTACGTGGTTCGAAACTCTTACTCTTTTGCCACATATAACGAAAACCAGTGGTAAATTCGTTCGAAATTTGTCTTTGTTGTCTGAGAAAGAATTAAATTTTCGTGTGGGTCAAACAGGCACACACAACAGTCACCAATTTCAATAACATTCATATGATTAGACTCGAAAAATGTATACAATCAGACTACGGAAAGATAAGTCAGTAAGACGATCAGTGTGCGTAAATGTACGGACATAAATTGTTTCTTCTGCGGATTCCCACCTGAAGTCATCTTCAGTAAATATGCAGCTGCGCCCTTTCGAAACAAACACGCATACATGAAATCGATCTCAGGCATGACCACAGCCTTAACATATGCAACCTGTTGTACTGTATGTGTCCGCGGCGACCTCCAAAGCACCCCGTAAAGGGCCTGATTTTCCAATTACCTTTCAGTCTTAATTGGGGTTTTATGCCGCTTCTTTGAAACTCAGCACTTAAGGATAGGGAATATTATGTGTATCCATGCGGGTAATTTACGCACATACTTATGGTATATTCTTTAACTGAGCCAGGAAGTTTGAGTTCATTTATATTCGAACTAGACACTTGGTTTGCGTGCAAAATGACCCACCAGGAAACTCAGATGTTTGAAGACCAACTGGCGCTTATACACTGCCTCCCTCAATTAAACAACCTTCGTGTGGCCGGAAAGCTCACCGATTTGACCATAGAGGTATGTGTTTTTCAGGAATCCCTAATTTGCTTCCCATCTCAAGTTACAAGACAACGTAAAGGTGCATGCACACAGGATTATTTTGGCATCCCGTGTGCCCTCACTGTGTGACGCGCTCTGTAAAATGCCTAAGAAAGGCCAGGCTGCAGTGCTCAGGTGGCCGACAGTTTCATTAGAGTACTGGCTCGTTTTATATTAAAATTTCACTCTAGAATCGTAACGACGTTCATTGATTATATATATACAGGACAAATTGAAGTCCGCGAAGCGAATGCGGCTGGGCTGATTGTGCTGTCACAACAGCTCGTAATGCCTCAGGTGGAAGAATGGGTGGTGAGTTTCATAACCGCCAGGTATGTGTTTTCGCGTTATCATTAGTTCGCAGATTGCATTCTGAAAACATTGCAAATAACTGGGAACTTGCACAGTTGGTGAAAAGTGACCAGTTGAAGAACGTCTGCCTACAACATATCAAGGCCACCTTTGAGGCAACAGGTGCCAGTTATTTTTTCATCCGTCTACCTCCTGACGCTGTACTGTCCCTGCTGCGCGCAGATGATCTTCAGGTAGATAGCGAAGAGAGTCTCTTCAAGACAATTGAACGATGGGTTAGTCCACTCGGGGAAGTGGATGAAACACGAGTGGCGCACGCGGCATCTATGATGAAGGAAATGCGGTGGTATCAAGTTGCCGCCAACTTCCGAAATCAGCTAGATGATGAGGATGGCTTTTGGAATACAAATGTGGAATGTTTGTAAGCTATCGGAGAACAGTTATCATTTTGAACTATTAAAGACGACTTTTAGGTCAAATAACTATGTGGATTGACATTCCATCCTCGAGGGGCGACAGAAAGTGCCCGTTTAATGAGAGGCGCAGAGGGCAATTAGGTGGCTCAATGGATAGTGAGTGTCTATTG